ATCTCCTCCATTACCCTTTGACACCTCTAAATTACCCAAAATGGGTAATTTCAACCCCTATGAAAACCACTGCTCTAGAAGTTATTCCTAGAACTTTGTTCGTTTTGTTGAAGATTTGACTTATTCAAGCCATTGTTAGGAAATTAGACCGGATGAAAAGTAAATTGAGTTGTGGTAAACAATAAACATGACCACTCACATCAAAGATCACCTGAACTTTTTACCAAAATAAAGGAACCATTTGCCAATTGTAAAAACGAAAGCCTTCCTCCATATTTTAATTCGAAAATTTTTCGCTTTCATGCCGATTTAACAGTATCCAATGTTCGTAAAAAATTTTTACCACACTGCTATGAAATCTTATGCTATTCATCATATTTCGTGTTTTTGCAGGACGATGGAGAAAATCGAAATCCATGAAACATGCCAAGCTTTGAAATTTGCTTTAGACGGCATTTCTTCAAAATTTGCTTTGGAGCATCAAAACGTAATTGAATGATGATGCACCGAACGTGTATTCAATTACGTTAATTAAATACGCTTTACTTTTCACCTTAATCATCTGAACCGATAATGAAAGCTTATACCAACAGATTACAGTATGCGTTTTATCTCACCAAAGCTTCTTATCACTTTGGCAACGATTCCGAAGTATCTAAAAACTCTCTCAATAGGTTCTGATGAATCAACTGAGTCCCATTGCCATTGCCTGCACTGATCATCCCATTGACTTCATCTTCTCAACTTCTAAATTCCAACTCCTCTAATACTATTTTCTGTACTAAGCAAAAATTTTCACCAAATTTTCAACCATGGACTGACAATTTTTCGACCATACTGATGTAGCTTTCCATGCAGATATATTAGATTTTACGAGCTCAACGATGCCGAAATATGTAAATCTCGTGCATGTAGTGAGAGAAAGTTACTCGCTCGAGTTGTTCCGTCGTTGATGAAGGTTTCGAAAAATATGGCTCAAGTACTGACCTAGGTGAAGTCTGATGAGCTGTTTTTCTCAATTTCATGCACACACTGGTCTGGAAGAATCAATTAAATCACGACGTATGTTCGTTGCAGTCTTCTGAGAAAGTTCTAGCAGATGAAGCACAATCTGCGGTGTTGTGCTCTTATATGGCTTGTGGCGTTGGTGTTTGCCGGTATCGTTCAAGAAGATTGCACAGTAACAACGATCAACCAGTCAATTCTGGATGTTGCACGCATTCTGGTCGACGATCCATCGTACGCAGTCAGTGTGAAACGTGAAGTTGAGAAGAAAGATGGTGATGCGGACAAAAGTACACTCTCCGCATTCGAGAATCATCAATATAATGCCAGTAATCATACCATTGTTGACAGTGAAGGCCGTATACGGTGAGCTCAGCTTGAAGGCTATTACTGTACCGTGTTCATGAGTTGCAATTGAGAATTGATCAAAATAAAACGTGATTTTGATAGAATCCTCTCGTGCTGCCATGTACCGCATTGGTCACCTTTAACAATCGATGAATTAACAATTAACTCTATGATTAAATGCAAATTTCAATGAGGAATTCATCTGAAGTCAGCACTT